CTTTTTTTTTTCACACTGCTGCATCACGTTGCTTCTAAACTGGAAGACTACCAAAACAACCAATTTTTGTTTTGTCTGTGCCTGTTGTATAAATGCCAGCAGGTTTGTGGGTGAAAAAACAAAATTTAACTTTTATTTTTTATTTTTAACTCTCTACTGCAATGTTTTTATGTGGACTGGTGATTATTAAAAACAAAGGTTTAAAGGCCAAGTTTGTCCATGGCCACCGTAGCTCTTTGATAGAAACCCAAAATATAGCGCAGACATTTTAAAATGACTTTCCGCATCTGATTCATGTGGTTCTGTCATGACTAATCATAATTTAAAGAAGTTATTGACTGAAAGAAAAGACTAAAAGCGATCAAAAAACACATGCCGTTATTGTTTTGAGAGAATTTTTAGCCAAAAATAGTAAAGGGCTGCTGTAAAATTTAGATGTTATGTTATGGACACTGCTGGGACCAGCAGAGGTAATATGGAGTATTTTGATTATTATTCCAGGAAGCAAATTTTGTCCAAAAAAAGAATGAAAACATAACATGAGTAGTCTGTCCAAGGCATCAGTACAAACAGTAGAGGAAGTTGGCTGTGGTTGCTGGAGCTAACTCTCAAATGTACATGACTAAATCAGCGAAGGACCTCAGGAAGATATTTCCCAGAAATTCTAAAGGTTCATAAGACAGTTGTGTGAGTTACCAAACACAGCATGGTCCCCTGTCTCTTTTCTTTTGAGACAGGGGTAACTGGCACAAGATCGCCTAATAATGGAATGCGGCAAAGTTTCTTTTGAAAGTCAAGTCTTTTTCGTAGAGCATCATCAAGATGATCAAAACCTTTTATCTGGGTAAACCAATGTTGTAAGACTTAAATGTGAAAATGAGGGCTTTAAGGTTTACTTCCTGTATGGAAAAGCCACTTATTAAAAGAAGTAAAATAATCGGACTTAATCATTAGCTGTAGATATGCTAGTGAAGATTCTCAGTCATCCAGGTCCATCCAATTTTTTCAATTCAAAATGTTAGGAATAGCGTTGCTTTAGAGGCTATATACATGTTAGGCTACCGTATGTACTGTAGCCTCAAACGCTATTCCTGACATTTTGAATTGAAAAAGTTTCCTACAGTAGATGGGAAGCGAAACGTCTTCAAACTTGGAAACAAAGTCAAGTGGATTGTTTTTTTTTTTACTTTTTTGGAATCAATTGTAAAAGAGGAAAGACAGCCATTTTTTAAAGAAAACATAAAATCTTTAAAACATGTTATTTGAGAAACATTTATCCTTTTGGAGAATTAAAGGAATTTAATTAAGAAATGATATGGGATGATGTTTTTCTCCCTGCCTGTAAAATTTGTACTCTTGCTATGAATAAATGAATTACATTTTAAATAATGTCTCAAATATATAGAATAGAAAATCACTTTATAGCTCCAAAACTGGGAAATTCTGTTATTTATATATGACATTGCGTAAGACTATGAACCTGTTATTGCATGGACAAAGTCTACAGTAGGCAGGCGATTGCCTAGCACCCCAGCAGAAGGGGGGGGGGGGCCCTAATGATGGGACAGCTGTTTGATAATAAGTGGAAAATGATGAAAAAACATAACTCTACTAAAACCTAAAAACTACTAAAGCTTAGCTGCAAAAAGGGCCCTTTCTACAGGTTTCCACATGGCACATTTGGCACTAAACCTGATTCTGTCCATTCAAAAAGGGTAGACAGCGAGTCAGCCACACATAGAGGGCAGTAAAATTAGGTCGCGATTTAACTTTCTGAAGTTTGCTTCTCTGATCTGAAAATTAAAAGAAAAATTTTTAAAATAATCCATTTTGAATCATTATCAATTATTTTACAGCTGTAAAAACAGCAGAAATATGCAAAACCCAAATAATCATTTTCTTCAATTTCCAGGTGTGTGTTCTGTCCTGCCCTAATCATTTCTGTTCAAAGGTACCAACGATCGTCACACATGTGGCTTTTTTATAACTTAAAATCCCAAAAGTGTAATTTCAAAGTTAACCAAACATAACAACAAAAACGTCCACCTTTGGAATAGACCAAATGAGTGGAGCAAATGACTCTTTTGGTGTGAATATGTCCTTAAAATAAAAGCAAAGTCCTAGTTCCTGCATAGAAAGAAGAAACAAAAAAAGGTAGAATATGTCAAATGGCATTGAGGCCATCACCTACTCTCAACTGTCTGCATTCTTGACGTGCCTTGAAAAAAAGTTTAGATGCTATGCTAGCTTTTGGGCTCAGCGTCTTAAAAGCAAAAAAAAATAATAATAACACTGACCCCTAATGTGGGGCGCTCAAAGCAACGGGTGGTTTGTCCAGTGGATACCCAAGTGGTTTAAACCTCATACTATAGCTCACAGCTGATGGAATGGGTCATAGACGTTACTGTTTTAGCCCTGAGTGAATGATGTGCAATAGTTTTTTGAAGATTTAGGTGCAAAATGTGTGCCGTCAGTCTCTCTACAAGGCGTCTGGTAAGGGATTAAAGTCAACAGGAGACCGACTGGACTCAAGTGATATGACTCAGTGAACCTTTGGGCTGAGCTTCCCCAGGAGGGACATATGTCCTCTGCTCTTTGTCTGAAGGTGGAAGAAAGGGGAGAGAAATCAGAAGGAGAAAAGGCAGATAGAAAACAATATACTCCTCAGATAAAAAACAGTGCTATTTTGAAAAATATAACTGTCAACATGGTGGCCAGTGTCTAATGAATTCAGCCGCTGTCAGTGGAGAATCGCAAGAATGGGGTAAAAATTAGCTTTGAAACAAAGGGAAAAACAACTGCATGGCATGCATGTGAGTAAGAAAAGAGAAAGACAGTGCTTGGAGGATGAGAATTAGCAGGGAGGGGCACAGCGTGGTACTACAAACTGACACATAGCCACAGGACATGGGCTCCAATTAGAGTCACAGCAGCTCTAATCAAATCTGATCTACAACCACTGGCCGCAGGGCGACTCGGCGTGCACGTGCGTTTCAATGCATTCACACCTGCAGTTCTGCGCTACGTTCACATTGTGAATCACATATCAGACTCGAAGAAAGGATTTCTGCATAGGCTTCTTTTTCTTAATACAATTTACAATACTTTTGTTTAATTGTTAAATGCCCTGTTTGAATTGTTTAATAAATCAAAGCAAATACAATGAAAATAAAAAACTTCAATTTTCATTCCATTGTCCAGCTGTTGGTCATAAGTCAATTAAGTCATCCTTATTTAACATGCTGGGCTTGAAATTAACTATTTTGTTTGCTAGCCACTGTGGCTAGTGGGTTTTCAGAGTTACTAGCCACTTAGCATTTTCACTTTCCAAAAAACGGTTGTTAGAAAATTATGTTACATACGCTAAAAGCTGAGTGGGCTAAAACTTATTTAAACTATATTAGCAATTCTGTTAAAAGTAAGTGCTCCTTGTACATGCTCATCAAACTAGATAAAATAAAACACTACCAGTCATTATTAGTGCTCAGCTCTCATAAGGCTTTGTGTAAAGCCCCTTATATATGAAAATATGCAGTGTACACAATGAAATAAAACATGTTTATAATTGCATTTTAAATGTGTTGCTGGGAAGAAGATGATTATTTTAAAAGAAAAAAAAACTGTTAAAATAAATATATATATACTTTGATTCAGCCAAGAGAGAAATATCACAATCAGCAAGACAGAAAAAGATTAAAAACACTCTCAATACATTAACAAGCAAAGATTCTATAAAGTAAGAATTCAATGATATTTTACCTAAACTAAAACTACATAAATGAATCCTATGTTATCAAACTAAAGTTAAAAACAACAGAAGCACACAGTGGATAAGGCTGTGAGTGAATTAAGTGCATGGGGGATCTATACTTTTTTTTAACGCAGAAGTTAAAACAACAATATTATGTGTATATCTTACTTTTTAATTTAACAGGGGTTAGTGGAAGCTTTGTGCACGTGTAACTCATTTTCAGTCAGAGAAGCAGAGGAAAACTGCTGAGCTGCATATGAGTCCCTGTCAGAGATTTGGGGACATGCAGTTTTCACTCCTCACTGGAGAAAACAGTTTAACTCTGAACAATCAGTGCCTTCATGTGATGTCACCAAGGTCTCCAACAACACAGAAAAAAGTCACTACCTTTGTCAATAGTATTAGTTTTGTAAAAAAGGAATAAGTCGCTAAAGGAATCTGAAAAGTCACCAAATATAGTTATAAAATCTCCAAGTTGGTAAAAGTGTGCTTAACTGCCTTTTTTCTGTCTTCCCTTTCTACCCTCTATCATCAGGTTGTTGTTTTTTTTTGGCTTTATAACTGAGTTCTCCACAGGGACCACCTTTCTGAGGTGACATCGATCAAACAGACCAATATGCACTGCAAGGTGATGCTCATGGGAGATGTAGTGTCACAGAGTCAAATAAACACAAACTAGAATTAGGTAAAAAGGATGCAATCAGCCAAAGTGGTCAGAAGGATTTGCTTTGCTACCTAGCACAGCTGAAAGTCACCTGCTTTTGCAGTTCCATCAGCTTTATTATATACATCATAACTACCAAACCTTCTCCTTATTAGCACTCTCTATAAAACTAATATGGAGAGCAAAGCATTAACCAGCATGCAATGCCTGTATTCAATTTGTTTTAACCTGGAAATACCTTAAATGCATCATGTTGCAAAACAACAAAAGGAGAAAAGAGAGCAGTTTTTCTTTTCTCTGTCAGAAAGTACTGCCTTTTTAAACTGCCTATATATCTCATCATTTTATAACCTCACAGCACTGATACAACAAGCTGGTTTGAAAAGGGATGCTAATACCTAAACCTAGTAGCACTTAGAAGGATGTCCTTTCTGATCAGGAATTGAACAGATTTTGTCAAGTTATCTGTCAAGGCAAATCTAGTCACTCCATCCAATATCTCAGATAATCTTGACCTCAATAATTAGAAGTTAAAGCATGAACTAACTTATAATTTTTACAGTAATTATAAAATTACTGGTATACCTCACTGTCCTTAATCAGTCGTCGCGCCACAATGAGCTGAATCATTCCTCGCTTGTTGCCCTCTACCGACATGGACTTTCGAAGTGCTTCCATGGCATCCTGGTTGGTCATCCCAATCAGCGACTCTCCATTGACAGCAATGAGTTGGTCATTGACAAGAAGACGGCCATCCTAAAGAGAGACAACATTTAACACCATTTAGCAACTATTTATCTATTGGTTCAATAAATTTTTCAAAATAAAATTGGCTTTAATATGACTTAATAACATCCCTCAATACCTAAGATGCAGCAACAGGAGTTCTATACATGTTACTGTTGCAGTAAACATAGCATGTCAAATAATTTCAATTTATCACAAACAATGGGCAGAAGGTAAATAGAAGTAAAAAAAAAAAGTTGCAACTTGCCTTACTAGCAGCTCCTCCATTAATAATAGATTTCACGAAGATTCCAAGATCAGCTTGGCTCTCCTTGGACCGGTTCCCCTTAACGCTGACTCCCAAGCCTGCTGAGCCTGAGTCATTGAGCGGGATCTCAAAGGTCAAAAACTCCCGCGTCCCATCTGGAGTTAGCACTATGTCATCCTCCTGTTTCTGAGGTGGACATTGAAGAAACAAAAGAGATGAGAAGATGAGGATTTCTTATACATCACTCTTTGATAACACATATTAAAATATCTTTAGAACAGGAGCCCAAAACACCAGACCCTAGACCCATGCTATGTCTTGGATGCACTGACAAATAGCAGAGGTGCTAATAAACCCTCAATGCAATATAATACACCTGGACTTTGGTTGCTTTACTTACTTGGCTAAATTGAAAAAGTGATGGTGAGTTCCACTGTTGCATTGGAAAACAAAAGAGAAAACAGTGATCAAGAGAGCAGATATGACCATAAAATTGAATACAGGAAGTATACGGTCAAGACAATCAATAAATAAATGGTAAGCATGTCCCATAGCTTAGAACTGCGATGTTCCATTGACCATCTTGTTGAGTATTTCCATTCCAGTATGATGACCCTGGTAAAGAGACAGGGCAAGCAGAGCTGAACTCCGAATTACGTATAGGTGAAAACTCAGGGATTCCTTTGAATAACACCTTTTCTTTAAGGGCCATTTAACTCTTGAAGTAGTAAATATTCATTATAGAACTAGCTCAATTAATCAATGGTTTTTAAGAAGAGAAATACAGTTTTAATTTCAGCCTAGTGGGAGCAATAATGCTGTGATGTTTCAACTTTGTGCTTATAAGGAAATAACTTAAAGGCATCGATCCAGCCTTATGACTCTGAGGTTCCTAACGCATTAATTCATTACTAAACTGTATTAAAAGCAGGCATCATTGTTATTTTTCTTCTTCTGTTCTTGATCTGACTTGCCTATCTTATTTAGCTGTTGCATGTTTGGCCACATCCTTCAAATGGGAGCTTTATGGTCCGTCAGCTCAGTAATCGTTTTCAGGCCGTATTAATCTTAAGCCTAACAACTCTCTGTCATTTTTTGATTAATTAAAAAGTCAATGTAAAGTTGCCACTTTACCCCTACCCCATCGTTCACCAAGAACACAGACAATATTGATCAAGGCTCATTTTGTTAATGAATCAACTGGATAGAACTTTGTCCATTAACCAATAGTGTTTCAGACTGAAGGAGGTCTTAGATCCGTGTTAAGCAGCTGCAAATGAATAAAATATAATAAATAAATACATATGATCTGCATATGGGTACAAATCTAAGCAGATTCAGAATGCATAAATAGGTGAATAAAATTAACATAACTCTGGCTCCGCAACACTACCCGTTTATTCAACAGAGATGTATTGTATGACTTCAATATCAGATAGACGTTCTACTAATATAAACAGAAAATGGAAGAAATTACAGGACAATCATAGGTCAGCAATCATATAATAACAACCTACATTTAGTGACGATATATAGTCATATATAACAATCACTAAAAAGGGAAGGAAAGAAAGCAGCAGCAGACATCAAAGAAGAGTCACACTATGTTTCAGCTACTGTCTATCTCTTTGAAAGCTACCACTGTCCAGAAACTTTAGAAATAATTTATGATCAGTAGTTCCCACTCTGGCAGAAGTGTCAGCATAGACAATGAGTTGAAACAAATATATATATATACATATTCCATTATATTCCACAGCTCCTTGGTAATTGCTGGTCCATAAGATTTCAAGAGGGGGCAAAGTTCTGACATCATTTAGGACTCTGCTCTCCCATTGTTAGAAACACTAAGGTACAATACTCTAAATAAACCTTTAACAAGAGCATGGGACACTATTACTTCCTATCCAGTCTTCCAAACATGTGTTTATGTCTCATTGATTATTATATTGATGACTGGTTGATAGTGACTAATTCCACAAACTTGGGAGCAGCAATGAGATGGTCGGATTGGCCTAATCTTACTTTTTAATCGGGGCTATAGCTAAAGCTGAAACATTTATTTTGGTGCAATATAATTACACTACAAACGCCCAACACCCTCTTTAAATAGAGGGTGTTGGGCTGCATCTAAATAAACATTAAGCAGCGGTCGTGTGAATAGCGAGGAATGAGAAGAAACAGAATGTAGGATATTTACATTTTTGGGGGGGTGTGGGGGTTTCACTGATGCGTTATTAGGGTGCAGTGATGCATTCAGGTGGAGGCTGTTTTCAACACTAACAGACTGAGCCTCCATTCTCCTCATGGTCCTCTGTCTGCCCTCCATTCTTTCTCACTTGCTTTTTAAATTGCTCTACACCTGTCTGTGCGACTTGCCAAAAGGGTCTTTGTTTGAGGCCGGACCCTTCCACAATTCCGACCAGCGGAATCCATTTAATCGCATTGGATTTCAACACCTATGGTTCTAATACAAAAATCCCCAGGTCTTGGCAGGAAATGAACCTTTTCTTCCCTGCTGAATGCTGAATGAGTCAGATAGGGGCCAGGAAAATAGCGACTTTAAGAGAATTCCTTCTCCACACCAGGAGCCAATGTAATGCATCAATATTGTTTAAGTTTTCATGCCTTTTCTGAGCTGGAAAGCTTTGACAGATGTTTTATGGAAACATCTTGACAACTGACATGAGCTCGGCTCTTTTGAAATGTAAATCCGCTAACACGTATCATCCACATACAGTGCCTTGCATAAGAATTCATAGTCCTTGAATCTTTCCACATTTTCTCATAATGCAATTGGAAGAATCCATGTGTTTTGGGTGGATTTTTATGATTTAAGTCAACTCTAACTAGGGCATAAGTGTGACTGAAAAATTATTGGTATTGATATGTTTACCCATAGAAACATTTAGAGAATATGTTGACTTAACACATTGTGAAACCACCTTTTGAGTAATAAAAGCTGCAAGTTTTTTAGGGTACATTTATTCATACCTTATGTCTGAGGCTGCATGCCTCTCCCGGGTCTTTCTGTCTTGCTTTTTTTCACTTTTCACTCTTGCATAAAGGTAGTAGCTGGTGCAAAATGTCCTTTAAGCTGATTCTTCCCCCTGAACTGTGAACCCCAGAAGCTTCCCCAGAGAAATCACTGGAGTCTATGTTGCTTCTCTGATTAATCTTCTTCAATGCAGAAGAGTCAGATTAACAGCCGTGTTCTTAGTAGGATCTGCCTTACACTTCTCATTATCTAATGAAGGATTAAAAAGTCCTCCACTAGATGTTTAAAGCTTCTGATATTGTTTTGTAAACCAAAGCCTGCTTTAAACCTTATTCACAACGTCTACCCAGACACGTTTTGTGGTTTCCTTACTGTTTATCCTGAGATTATAGTATGCTCCATGAACTGCTTACCTGATTCTTATGGCAGTGGGTTAAACTGGATTTAGGAATATGTAAGTCAAGAAAGCTGAATACATATCTACACTACACCTATGATTGCATATTTTTTACCTTAAAACAAAGTGGAACAACTTTTTTTTTTCTTCCTTAACTGCTTTTTAAAAAGAAAATAAGATAAATTGAGGTTTTTAGTTAAAATAGTTTCTACTAGGGACTGTACTGCATAACAATTCAAATTAATTAACAATTTTGCTATGTGCATCATTTAAATAAAAACATATATGTGTAAATGCAAATGCAGATTTTCAAATTAAAATAAATATTATGAGGGTAGATATAACATTTTAACACATTTATAGCAAGATACTTAAAGACAACCAAACGCCAGCTGCAAAAACGATGCTGGACAGACACAGTGTGAGGCTTTAAACAGGCTAACGCTTGCTTCCAAAATGATGACAGAATAACCACCCGCTCAGAGATGTGTTACGGGAAAAGAAGGCCGAGGCACAAAATGAGACAGCACTGTAACATTTTCGTCAGACAGGAACAAGCGCCGCCAGCCAGAAACGAGTTTGTCAAGCTGCTTGACAGGAGTTATGGCTGAGATTCAACTGTGAGGGAGCTGAACCTGACCGAGCTCGAGAAAAAGGACAAAGTTCATTTTCATTGTTCAAAGCTCAGCGCTTTAATGAACCTTAGATAAAGAGCACAAATGAAATCATTGAGATGGAGCATCATTTCAGGAAGGAAGATATAACCCGAATAATATTTTGACTGGAAATTAGCAGTGGTAATATCACTGCATGTTTTTCTAATGGTTTTCAAGGCTCATTTATATACTATGTTCAAACAAGGATCAGATGACTATTTACTCAAAGTTTTAAATATGTGAATTAGCTTAGAATTCATAGATTAAAATAGTAGGAAATTGTTAATAATGCAAAACTGCAATATCATTGCTGTTATTATTTCTTGAGCTCAATGGTCTAACTGCTGGGCAAGATAAATGCAAAGGATACCCCTTATCCTCCAGTTGCTTTTGTCCTCCTCTATTCTCAGCTATGGCCATAGTGCTTTACTCAATTAAGTCCTTTATTAATTAACAGTGCAGTGGGATAACACCCGGTCATTATCACCAGGCAAGGGAAATAAAGGAAACATTTTCATAGAGATACAGGCAGACATGGCCTCCACAAAGAGTGAGTTAGATCATCGTTTAACAAAGCCCTGTCTTCCTATTAGTTTTTTCCGTATTTATTGTGCTTAATCTATTCTGCATTAAGAGATATGTAGCATGTGTTATCAGAAAAACAGACAGAGAAAGCCAAAAAAATTCTCCAAGAGAGGGAGAAACAAGAAAGCAAATGAATTGCAATTAACTCTATTCACATAAAAATCTGAGTTCTCCGCACATCAATGCCTAAAACAATTAACACCGCTGGAAACGTCTTTCCACACTTGGTGCAATTTAGTGACATAAAGGTCATTGGAAATTAATCTAAAAGGGGATAAAAGAAATCAGCCATGGGTGTAATTACAAAAGAGGTGCACACAGGCTAGGTATTGTAACGCAAATTTCTTTGGCCGGGATTCTTGCAGCAATTTTTTTTTTTTGACAATGTAACTCTAAGAGGAATAAACAAGTTCAGGTACATTGAGGGTGTGGAGGGAAAAGCTGCCTGTGGAAGGCTTTAAATGAGATAACATGAGGCCTATTGAGTTGGATTTTACTTATAGATTCAAACCAATAGCTGACATGTGAAATCAAGGTAAATAAGCAACAGAGACAAAATATTCATAAAAAAAAAATGCTTTGATTATTACTCGTAACATTAGTCGTGTTCTTTTCACTATTCCCAGGATCAACACAGATCTTGGCAAAACATAATTTTTCTATGCAGCACCATGGTCGTGGCACAATATTCAAAACTCCCTGCAATTACGGACTCTTATTCCGCTAAAGCTTTTTAAATCACTATTGAAAACTGCTTGCACAGAGAATTCTAATTGTTATTCTAGAGTCTAGTTTAT